AAATAGTTACTCTTATAAACTACCACCCCCAAGGCTTGATCTCCATGATCCAACATGATCCTCATTGGTTTGTGGCTCAGTTTTGAGTTAGCAAAATTCTTAACGTTGAAGTCATATCGATTATATTTTCTATCCAAGACTTCAATACACAAGATTTCACATGTTTCATTTTTAACTAATCAGGTTTTCCTATAGATAATGGAACAACCAATTAATCCCAAGAAGCAAGTGTAGAAATCCCGTGCCTGTATAGGAAACATGTATTTGTATTTCGGTTTCGTCAGAACTATCCCATTTCACTACTTACTGTTATTGTTAGATAGTACTTTTTTAGATAGTACTTCAAGTGAATGTTTCTATTATGGAATTTTACTTATAGAAACCATTTCCATTTATGAAAACAGTAATGCTTTTTTATATTGAAAATAGAAAAGGTTTTTGACATATAAGTAACACATAATATCAAGTTTTTTACTTAACTTTTCAACACTTTTTACTATATTCTATTTATTCTATTCGTATTGTAATACCTTGTGATCAAAAAAGATCGCATTTCGAGACCATAGAGGCCATAAGGTAAAAATCGCCACACGAAAATTCTTTGATTTCTTTGTATAGACGTTTGGCGTCTATACGATATGCGTTCAACTTTGATGAATGTGTATAACAGTGTTGCCAGCGTGAAAATAAAAAAATTTACTGATTGGATAAGCGCGGGAATTTAAAAATAGACATCTCTAGAAGCTGGAAATGTACGCCTGCATTTAAAGCAAACTCTAAGTTTCATAGTAACTACATACAGGTGAAATGTAACATGTGTCATTTGCCGATTTAACATCATTAAATCGGGAATATTTAACGTATTAAATTGGACATGTCGGTGTGGTAGAGTTTTATGAATGAATGTTAATATGTCATATGTTAAAGAAATACGAGTTCATTCATTTATACGATCTACTTTCATATGTAATTCAATCTGTATTCATTCATTAATTATTATTTCTAAATAAAAAGTAATTTTAACAGGTTTTTTTTTGTGTGTGAAAATTGTATTTATAAAATCATAAAAACCAGAAATTAAAAGCAAAAGTGCAAAATAAATACAAAAGATAAAAATAACACCTACTAGGGAACCCGCCCAATACTAATAATTCCATTAAATCGATACAAAATGAAAAGTATCTGTTAACAACACATTCATTAGTTTCTAATACTTTGCAAATAAACTTAAAAGGAATTTTTCCACCTAATTGACATTACTACATTATTAATTGCTACTGAATTGATGAATATCAAAGTAACATATAATTTCAATTTGAATGTTTTCCTATTAAATTACACAAATTACACAGCTAATCTATACGCATTAGCTTCAAAGTACTCGCGCATGTTAATACTAACTTTTTGGATTGTCTGTAGACGTCTATTCACTCCATGTGCATGATCTTGTCTTTGCTCAAAGCCACGTTAAACCACATTTAGTGGGATTAGGCGCACTTGCATGTAATCATAATAGTAGTTAAGTGCTTGTGGACACCGTTGATAAGTCGGTTGCCCCCGAAGGCGTGTCACTTCACGTTCACTGTGTAAACCCTGTGTAATCTACCTGGAAGCAGTAGTCAGTAGTCAGTAGTTCTTGAAGAAAGTCATGTTTACAATTAAGAGATACGCTAATTGAACGGGTGCTGCGCATGCGGTCGGTTTCGGTTTCGGTTTCGCTGATTACTCATCAGTTAAGCAAATTATTGGTCTTCGAGCTCATATTAGAATGTTTGCAAAATTATAAACGAATTTACTCTGTCAAAACCAGATATATAATTATGATATGATATGAAATTATTTCGGTGGCAGATACTAGCGTTTGTTGATACTTTTTTGCACTGTACAAAGCTGTTATTAGTTTTGGATTTATCTTAATATTTTTATTATGCAGAGCATGACATTGTTTTTATCCAGTTTCGATAGAGAAATAAAATATTTAATAGACCTTGAAATGACTGTCATGCGATATTTTTTTCGGTAATGCAAATGTTGTGCAAATATGTCACATTTATTTTTAATGGAAAGTTTTTGAGATATTTTCTGTTGAAATAAATTATACATTTTTAGAATTAAACCAATTTCAATGATAAAATTTCAAATGATTAAAATTTAAAAATATTCACTAAATGGTGTTTTTTTTGTCTCAATGTGAGTACTCTGTTTGGAAAAAAGCCTGTTCTTATAATATAAAAATTGAAACCTATAACCTAGTCAAGAGAGAAATATGCATTATTGAAGTGCTATTTCGCAGAGGTTAATCAATTAAATTGTTTAGACAGTTTAAGACTACAGGTCAGAAGACTTTGACTATGTACCGGTTCCAATGACGCCCGTGAAATCGCTTCAGTGTACGTGTGATAACGAAGCCTCGTTGAATGCTGCTTGGTAGTTTGATAAATTTTTTTCCTTACAGTTTTTATTCCAAAGTCACAGTGCAAGTCAAACCAAGCTACGATTGGTAATATGAAGCTTTGACATCCAGATATGCTATAATTTTTTTTTTTTGCTTAAAATATGTATTTTGGGTAGCAATAAACCGTTTGTTTTTCTAATCAGCCATTTCATTAATTTGTATTTAAAATTTATATTCATTCATTTTTTTCTGATGTGCTCATTCTATCTTAGTTTAACACCCAGCGATATACCTAAATGTTTCGCAGTGCTCACAGAAGAGATTTAAAATCTATCAATGAATAGAGAAATATATCTGATATATCGATTAATAAAATTGACTTGCATTAATTTTGCATTATATTGTTAATAGGCGTACATAAGTCACAAGCTATCGCTTCCTCGCTATCGTCTATCGTTATGACGGCACAGTTCGTTGGTACCAACAATACTTTTTTACAAATCACTGTAGACATCTTTATAATTAAGTTGGATTAAGTCAGATAACTACAATTAAATTATTTTGCATTACTCTGCTCTCAAAAGATAATATATGAAACTTTGTTGAAGGTCTGTGGCTACAGCTGTAATAAAGTTTACAGGAATTTCTCTTAATATTTCAGTTTTTTGGTATCATTACCTTAAGTTCAGTAGTTAGTAAATGAGTTTGATGTGCTATGTCAGCAATTTTTTTGTTACTTTCTCCACGTTTAAAGTGATTTTCACAAGTTTTCTGGGGCGTAAATCTTTTGATATCGCCAGTCAAATTTACATTCAGTCTGTTAATACCTATGTTCATTATGCAACACACTTAGGACATTCAGAAAACTTCCTTTCATAAATCAAGACAGGCATACCCATTGCTACTGGGGCTTGACTTTCTATATATTTTTATTCAGTCGATTGTGAATTCTTGAATTGTTGAAACTTTAGAAAATTTTAGTTTTCGTGCTAAAAGTCTTATAGAAATATCTAATATGAAAGAGAAAAAGTAGCTCCTCATATGCAACCACAAAGACTTAGTTTTTGTAGGATAAAATTTTCGAAAACTCAATTCAACCAACATATAGCACTCTCATATTGACTATCTGTACCCGTTCCTATATTTTTTCTGATTCTAACTACTAACAAAAATATGATCTATATTTATTCATTCGTCTCGTTTAGATAAATTAGAAACTAAATTAAAGTATATTAAAAAAACTGATATGCCAAACGTTTTAATTAAACTTTTAACGAAGAACGCAATCATGCTAATAAAACAATAAAATAAATATTGAATAAAATTATGAACAACAAAAAACTAATATTAAAAAATTTATTTCAATAAATTAAATTGCAGACAGAAATGTTTAAAAAACTGATGTCATTACGCCCATATTTTTGTTCTATTTTTACTAGTTGTGTTCATACGTTTATATTGTATATAATTTATTGCAAAATTTTTCTTATTAAATACTTTTTTTTATACTCTAGGGAACTGAAACAATATATATTAATTACTGTATTTATGACTTATGCGGTATGATCCTTAGTTTATTTTTAGAAACCACTTCATATAGAATAAGCCGTTCATCCGTATACTTTAATCCAGAATTATTATTATTATTAAAATTATTGACGTGAAATCGCCCAACAGCCGGTACTGCGGCCAGAAGAGTCCTATTGTACCAATTTCACTATAGATTACAAAATTACTATAGAAAACCCTTTAATGCTTTGTGAACAAAGTCCAGAACTATATCTAGAGAAAAGCTTTTGATCTGTTCTGTTGACAAAAATTCCATATGAGATAAGTTTCTTCTGTGCGTTGTTAAAACTGGACAGTCACAAGGAATATGCATAGTAGTTTACTCATCTTCGAGGCATGATCGCATTCCGCATTAGCAAATAATCGTAGTTTATGAGGGTTTATGAGTTTATGAATATCGAATAATGTTTTTGTAGGAGTACAGTTTGATTAGTACTTTGGTTTGTTTAAGTCCTGGACAGTCTTCTCAGTACATCAGCTGCATATGATTCTTTTTCTCCTTTATTATTTGTTTTGTGTTGGTCCAGTCTAATCTACAAAAGGGTTGACTCTTATTTCAGAATATAAGAAAATAATACTTTTTCAAGTGGAAATTGCCAAAAGAAATTTTAAATTTTAAGTTCTGGCATTCAACACTGCGGACTATAGATAGATCTATCGTGTCCCCTTCATTAATTCAGAGTATTTGTCTTAATTTCAGATTTGATATCTTTTTGTAAACTTCCTCTCTTCTATAGAATTTTGATGAGGTAATCCTTATAAAGTTACAACGATAATTGGCATTAATTTAGATTATTTATGGATTGATTTATTATATAAAACCAACAGCTGAAGTGATCAGAATTTTTGGAAGACATTGTTGGAGACTTTAGCCTACAACTACTCAGGCATGTCTGCAGTCTTTATATTC